TCAAATGCATGGCATCAGTGAGTGATTTGACGATCAAATTATTTCACAAAATTTTTCCAAAAGTCGAAAGTTTGCTGCCTCATGTCAACAATTGTCTTCTAACTTTTATAATTTTCTCTGGAGAGTACTACTACGATATTGAGAGGGTTTTGACATAGCGAAATCTGGCATTCTTCACTTACTGCCATCCAGAGTAGGGACAGATCAGCTATTCTTTATAATCCCCCCTATTTCACCTGTGACACGTCAGAGCTCCACACCCCTGGCCCTCAGCTCTTGGAAAATTAAAGCTCGTAAAGGCTCGTGATATTCGTCAGAAGTTTGGAGGTTACACCCTTCAAAGTTCAAATTCTACTTTTCACGTGCACAAAACAAGGTAGATGTCACTACGGCGATATCCCTCAACTAACGGACACTTCTGAAATGCATGCAACACTAGTTGACACGCGTCAGCCTTTCTGTCGCATGTCTCTGCTATGCTCTCCATTCTTTACAAGGGTATAACCTTCCTCTCCACAACTTCAATCGAATCTAATCTCTGTCGCAACTGTGTAAAGTACCTGGTCTACCTCCTCGCGTAGCCTCTACTCGGACTCGATTCGTGCGAAATTGTCTCAACACTGTAATGATGATGATGGTGAACCCAAATAAGGAAGAACTAACTATGATTGCTGAGGGAAATTAATAATGATGACAGGAGCAATTGTAATGGTAGTGCATGCAATCCAGGTCTATAAAAATGACGGGTAATTAGCTTGATCGACTACAAGTTTGTTTGTCCACTCCTCTTCCTCTTCCCCTAAAATCCGCAGAAAAATCGAAATTTTCATCAGTGACAAGTGCTTAACTTGTGGATACAATTGGCTGCTCAACTCATGCATTCCACCTTGATAGGTCCCCTAAAATAATTGTTGCGACATCTAGTTCACAAGCTACTTTTATCCGACGTTTTGAGCCTGTAAACAAAACAGGATTACAAAGTGAAGTCCATGGGCCTTCGACGCTACAGGAAGGCATTGTGTGTTGGACAGTGACTGAGGCGCTTTGTGAGCCCCTTTGCTCTGCGCTTACAGGATCAGCGTTTTGTTGCTGCATCCAAATGTCCTTCGACTTGAATCCAAATGGCATTCATTTGCTTCAGACCTACAAAAGTATCTTGGCGTCATGACTTACTGCTCATGTCAGCGGCTAACATTGTGTGGTTCCTTAATATTCATAGACTGTTTTTATTTACCAGGACTTTTGAACCATTTTGACAGAAAAGAGAAATAAGTCTGATTTTATACTTTATAAAAGCAAAAATTTGGTCTCTAGCCGAAATACCACTGTACTGAAAGGAAGCTCGATGGATGCTTGATTATGCTCGCATTAGTTAGTGAATGAGTCTCGCCTGGATGACATCCACAAACAGAAGACCATCAATCAGTCACTAATTCATTTCTTCACCCCATCCACACACCCGTTCATTCACTCCTGCTTACTACTCACCTCCTTACAAGTCCTGATTCATGCATGTGCACGAAAGACAAGAGGAAGACATCTTCCTTGTCCATCTTTTGCTTTAGTGTAAGCACAGTAAGTGCATTTCCTCAAATGCAAATGGAGAGTCCAAAGCACTGGAAGCAGTAAGCCATGAGAGAGCCCTACTTGTGCAAGGTTTCAAGTTTCACGAGACAAGGAAATGGTTCCGCCATGATGACCTTTACTTTCGGCCCTTTACTAATTTTAAAGTCGCATAAAGGAAAGACAGAAAATGCATAACAGAGAACCTAACCACATCTTAAAAAAATATTTCAGTCGCTGAAGCACTTAGTCGTTTAAAATCACCAACCCATCCTAATATAAATGCATATTTACTATGCAGAGACTTGACCACTTTGGTCCTGACGCGAACGCCTTCACAGAGGGTGTACGGCACTTGATAAATGGCCAAAATCTAATGTGCACTTTACGCACAAAAATCAAAACAAAGTAAGTCCGTCGGAAGAGTATCGTGCATATAGTGGCACATTTTTTAAATGATCCAAGTTCCTGTCGCTCTCCAGCAGGTATTGAAAACAAACAAACTTTTAATATCAAACCCCCCTTGTCGGTAGAATAATGAAATCCCATGCAGCTGGAAATGGTTTTTGAATACCTCGAAGTCGATTGTCTGTAGTTGAGTGCCTAGGAAAATCTTAGATGCGTAATTGGTAAAATATCATAAAGGAAAATATTTTCCGAACGCTATTTTTAGCTAGCAAATTTGTGCACTTGGACTATTCTCCGCAAAGTTGCGATTACAGCTTTGCATTCGGACTGCAGTAGTTGAAATACGCACAGCCGGTTCTGTACAATTCTAGCAAAACTTCATTCTTACCCCAGCAGGCTTCTGTGCCAACAAAAGTGGCTTGAACGCAAGCATGCATACAAAGCTTATTCGACCTAACTCCACAAAGGCAGTCTATGAGATGGACAAGTTCCTAAATGAAACGTTTAAAAGCAACGCGAGTCAACGTAGCATAAAGATTTAAGTAACTAAATTTTTTAAGGAAAAGAACTTGACAAACACAAAACTCTACTTACAAATTCTCAGTAGCGTAACAAAATTTAAAAGTGCGATTTGAACGACAGCTATGCGCAAATCGATTGGGATTTTTTTAATAACCGGTGCACATGTGGTACATACGAGTTGGAAACGCCTATATTTAGTTTTCATTGTGAAAAATTAATGCCGCCACATGCAAGGAAAACCTAAATCTCCTCTAGGCCTCATGTGCCATGCGTGTGCAACATCAATTTATCGCTACCTTAACCCAGCCAGTTGACTGTTTGAAAACAAGTTGCATCCATTAAGCATTTTAATGCGTAGTTAAGGACCCTTGCAGATGTCATTCCTTAAGAATTACTCTCATTAGAGAATAGATTTCAAGGAGATTTTGTTTAAATTGAGTCTATTTCTGAAGCCTACAGAATTGATCTCATTCGAGCTCTCCTAAGAACTTGTAATGCATCGCAGACAATAGCAAAATTATTATTGCTGAAACCACCGTTGTTCAATAGGGTTTCACAACCTATTTCGTTCCAACATCAGGCAGATTGCAGCTATTGACGAACACAAATTCACTACTTGAATAACAACTTATAGGAGGGAGTGCGATGGTAACAAATCCATCAAATGGAGATGTTAGAGCAGTACAGATTGCTGTCCATAGCCCGGCTTCTATCCAAGTTCAAAACAGATAAGAGCCTGATGAAAATCTTAGGATAGTTGTCCTGCTTAATCAAAATGACGAGTAAGCAAAAGGGCATTGTCAGCGCCCTACGGCTGACCAACAGGCTACCCTGACAAGCTTCTTTGCGCTTATTTGTAGTAACTGACTAACTTTTAAACTCAGTGTTCATTACTTTAGTCGCACCCCACCTTCATATTCGTCAATCAAGGCAATGAGGTAAGCACAACTTTATAGAATGTTTCACGACTTGAAGTTATTTGCAACTGCAAGAAAATGGAATAGGAAACTCTTCTCGACGACCATAGACGTTACAAGTAGCGGTGGAGGAATTTAACCTTTACCTCATTTTTGCCATCTGTCTCGAATTCCCCAAATATCCCACGTGAATTCAACAGATCATGTCAGTAAACATCATTTGAAGCATGTGTTTCTCAATTTATTAATTAAGAATTTGTGTAACTGCCGAGGTGCAAAAAAATGGAATGGAAAGGTCAATTATTGCTACGGTAAGAATGTCGTCGTTTCGGTGCATTGTAAAACTACATCCTATTTAAATTTAGCATAATAACACTTTCTTGCCGCCACATCAACAGACATTTTCCATCGAACCTGCGCATCATGGTAGAAGGTGTCCATTAAACATGGCCTAATTAGCACAGATACGTTGCAAAGAGTGCAGGAGAAAAGGCAGTTATTTCCTATCAAATCGTGCTTACAACTCAAGCCCATTCTAGCAATGTAAAATTCTTCTCTACGAGCAAGTAGTCTCCCCAATAGTCCTGTCAAAACAGGAGTCAAGATCTACGATTCCTTTAAGCCTAGAATTGCGATAGGATAAAATTCATCCAATCAGAGGGTAATCAACACTTGAACTACAGCTCCAATTCATTGTGTAACACTGCAGACGGCTCTACTGTCTGCACTGACGAGGTATTCCTCGTGGTTTGCCAACTCTCAAGTCGGAAAGATTTATCGAGAAAAGTGAAACTGAGACCATGCCTTGCATAAGCACGTGTAGTGTCCAGCACACAAGGTGAGCAGTCAGAATCGCTGAAGACGGCGCTTAAGGCATAACTCGAGCATAATTTCAAACCAATCCTCTCCTGAGTGTTTCCTTGCCACCAATCTCACACTTGCTTGCGTGGTTCTTTGACGTCAAATCCGACAGTGAAGGCCAAGACTCCAAACCTGGTATGTTCGAAAAACCATGCAGATGGCCAAATAGGGCCACCAGGGTCGTCGCGTATACGCGCCCATTACCACCATTGCCTGTCACGCTGACTGAGGGTGTCTGGAAAAAGTAAAAACATCTGAACTATGCGAGAAAGGTAGATATGAATTAAAGTAGTAGTAGCAGTAGTAACAGTAGTGACACCTTCATGTCGCGCATTTTGCGATTGAAACCCACTGTCACCAATAGTGGGGGTTACAGTGTTAGGGATGGTGACAATGGCAGGGAAAGGAAAGGAAGAAAAATCAGTGTTGAACAGATAGGAAAGAAAAAAGCTATGCTCTTACTTCGATGACAGAGAAGAGGGGAACAAAATCAGCAGGTATGGAGAGGAAGGTCTGGGCCTTCTCCCTCTTCTACAAGATAACTATTGCTTGCACTTCAATATTTGTTAGATGAGAGAGAAATACATACAAAAATAAACCAGTCTGGTGAAACGCAGACAGATGGACGAGCTAAGAGGAGGCGCTATATACACAGGTGAGTCTTCGTGAGGATGGTAGGACAGAAGAGAGTGACGGCGTCATGTACACGCATTTGGCGGCTGAGCGCAACTAAAGGGTATCCGTGGCGTTGGTCAGAGTGGTAGTACTGACGGTTGGGTGAGGCGGAGGCAGCGAATCAATGCGCGATTGAGGAGAGACGGAGGGAGACAGCACAGAAGGGGCCATAGGAGGCAGTATTGGGTGCTGCAACGCACCAAGTCCACCAGAAGTCGGAGTAGTGGCGGGACTGCGGCACTTCTTTGAATGCTTGCCAAAGAAGAGGTTGGTGAAGACCTTCTTAGTCTTCTGAAAACCCACGGAATTTCGATGCGCATCGTATCCTGTCGACTGCAGTGTAAGGTAAAATAAACATTTCAAGCTAGGAGTGGGCGTTGCTGGGGTTTCCTTTTAACCAAGGAAACGCTGAAATGAGCATGCGCGAATTTTCATGACTTGTGGGCCTCTTTTCTCCCATCCACCACAATGTAGAAACAGCATTTTTACCTGCCCTAAAATGAAGGTCAAAGTATTCACATAGCCCTAAGGATTGATCACCGCACGCCTTACAAATGAAAAGTACAAGCGACCAGCGACTGATAATGAGATAAAGGACGATTAAAGGACCGAAGCGTTTATAGGCGAATTTTGAATGTTTTAGCACTTCAAATAGAGGTCATAGGTAATTAAAAACTACGAAGTAACTCTACGTAAGGTGCATATCAGCCGAGAATTTAAGTCACGTAAGCAGAAGTAAAGCAAGGAGTCAAAGTCAGTGGTGTTATGTCTTGAAAGGAGAAAACTTCGGGCTATCACTTTGACTTCCACCGGATTTAGCGATTTCACTTGGCATTAAAGGATAAAAGCGAGTCAGTATACCCGCAGATAATTTTGTGCCTCTAATAAATGCTGTTTGACTAGGTAGGCGGTAGTGGTGAACTTAAACAATGACAGTTACAAAATATGCGGAAAATGGTAGCGGTGGAATTCGAATTGATTAACCTACTAGCAGCGTGGATGAGAAAAGCAAGCAGGTACGACAGACAGTGCTATGGAAGCAGTCCCCATTTCTTATGGCAACAAAGGGTTCGACAATATCAGCACCTTCGTATACAACTTCTGTTAATAATGGAAAGACGAGCTCCCTTTGAAGAGGACTAGTACCGCTTTCCGAATGTCCTTGAATTAAGGACTGTAAAGTGGTTAATTTTAATAGTCATGCATGGCTCGTTAAATGCTGCGAAGATTGGCTATGTTTTACCTGGAACCGGACAGTTCATACAGGTAAAATGAATAGATCACGCGAGCACAACCACATTTGATTCCAAATCTCTTCCAGAACAAAAAAATCTCCAGCAACGTATCCAGTAATGGTACAGTCGTCTGAACTGCCAGTCAGATGATGTCTGGTGATTGAGGTGGAAACACCTTTTTGAAATTTTTCCTGAGAGGTTCTTCCTTTTATCTCATTAACAACCTAACAGCGAATTGTGCCATCTTGACTGCCAGTCATCAAGTTTCCACAAACACTAAGTTTTGGTTACGATATTATTCCAGGAACAATAAGTAAAGAAGACACTTCTGTCCATTCGGCATAAGAAAGGGGAAAAGCAATGAAGGTTGTAGACTGCCCATAGCTGATGTCATGTTTATTTACCACCCAACCGATTCATCCCCATATTCTAGTCACTTTACAATGAATTTTGGTTATAAAGACATTTGCAGAGACTAGGTCGCTATAATTGTGTTCGAGTGCTAAGAGAACTTGTCCTGAGGATAAAGAAATGTACCAATGGATGAAGTACCCCTACAGCAATCACACCGAGAAAAGGGACTCAAGGATGAAAGCTTTCCGTAGAAAAACATGTTTTTCCAAATTATTCGTTAGAACAGTGTTCTCAATGTGCAAGTGAAAATATCCAATCCGCTTTAAAAATGGCAGCGCAAAGTGATCGCGCCAGATCGAATTTGAACCAACGATAGAATAGCTTTTAAAAAGAACAAAGACGCAGGGAAGAAACCAGAGGGTCTCCGGAAAAAACCGATTCTCCTTTGAAAATAATAGCAAAATGTCGACGTCCGTCAGCTCAAATTTGTTAAGTCACTTTGATACTGAGTTCAGTGAAACTCAGACGCCGTCAGTGAGCAACGCTGCAGTTGGTGGTGTGCAACAACTAAGCCACCGAAATTGAAAAGTTTTCCACAGCGAATTGCTCCATTTGAATTGCATTCCTAAGACCTCATTGTCTTTATAAACACTATGCCAAACGTAATACAATCCTAAAGATGTGTTCTTCCCATACCCATAAAAGGCATCTAGGCTAATCCCTTCCTTAGAATTAAAATACTTGTTCTCATAACTTTTTGACCCCAAACGACCTCTGCTCAGATGGAGACAAAAGTGAAGACGTGTGGAGAGAGGAGGTGAAACAGCAGCAATAGCAGCAGTAGGAACAGGTTGAGCAGCAGCAGGAGTGGCGCGACATCAGCAGTAGCCAATGCATCGACCACTAACTCAATCCACACCACCGTGGCCTTGTGGCCACGCACCAATCAGCACAAGATCACTTTGGCTAGGCTCTGCGGAAATTATAATTACTATTATCATCATCACCAGCGTCAAAATCGTCATCAATTCTTAGGTGATGATGGCAACCCGGAGAGGTCCGATCTGCGGACGCATGAATTTTGCTTCGATCGTGGTCAGAAAATAGTAAACGACGGGGAAAGGGGAGGGGATGCTAGTTTGTATGCCTGAAGCTGTCAGGCACTGGTCAGCAAACAAAATAGCATTCCAGATGGGTGAACTCAACAGTTCATCTGTTTTAGTAGAATTGATTTAAGTATGACCAGGATTAAATTGGTAGTGACGACCCTCGTCTTCGCTGTATTAATAACGGCAGCAATGTGATTAATGAAAAAAAAAAAAAACGTAACCACTTGGAAAACCTGTAAATAGAAAAAGTAGAACAATGGAGAACCTCCAGTTCGCCCAATTCAACTTTATTAGATTTGTCTGAAAAACGACTTTCTTTCGTGTTTCCACTGGTCACAGGAAACTCGGGAAGTCAAACTCTAAAGAAAATTCGTGAACAAACAACATGTCAACGATGTAAAGTCACTGTGGTAATTCGCGATTCAAATTCGTACTCCAGCAGCTAATCAAATTTGCTCGCTAACTCATTTAACTCGCCTCCATCGAGTCGACTCTATTCACAGCTGCTAGGCCTGGAACACGTCTACTCCCATCATCCGACTCCTTTCGATGGGGCGAGCTAGCGGAGCGCACCACGAACGGCTTGTGCGGGCTACTTGCCGATGCATCAGTCGGTGTAGCTGGATCCACGGTACAAGCAGGCGTAGGACTGACCACCCGATGCCTTTCAGCCGAAAAGGAGCGTAGTAGACTCCCCCCAAAACCGTCTATGCCTCCTCCTCCGGTGAGTGTGGTAGGCTTTGATGATTTAGCCCCGCCACCACTAGCACTACTACGAGGACCATGCGTGGAAGTAGGTGTAGTAGCGACGCCGACAAGAGCGGAAGAAGTGGAGCTGAGGCGACCGGACCGACGCATTGAAAAGGAGGGCCATTTACGAGTTTGCTGCGAGGTGTTCATAGTACCCGACGAGGGTTGCGGTACCTGGGACAATTGTTCCCTGGGTGCCTGACCGCGGAGGACTGGAATCTCTGTAGTTGGTGCCGGTGGCGAACCTGGAGATCGGTAATGAGAGTTAATTGGGGGTGGAGGATAAAAAAAATTCCGATCGCGGCTTACTGACGCCGAACATTGTACACCTAGTGGAACCCCGATAATACGATGACTGCATAGGATTTGGTTGTCGTTAATGCTGCTAACTTAGCCGAGATCTCATCGTAACATCTACAAAATAGGTGGTAATATATCACAACGTCCCAAAGTTCGAAATGAGTACCTTTACACTTTCTGCATTTGTTCATAGTCTAAAATCTGACTCAGTATTCATGTGTTAGGAATGCCACCAAAATTAGTGCACATTTGCCGGTAACAAGTCATTTGAAGCATTCAGTCACATTCCTGACTATGCGACTTGCCGATATGACTCAAATTCTCATTCAAAAAGGTAGAATACATTTGCTTGTAGTCTGATTCAAGATAGTCCTACGTTGCATCAAGAACAGGTGGTTATCTAAACAGCGGTCAAAATACCAGAAACGAAGGGATTTTGACATTTATCCCTGCTTCTTAGTGTGGTGATAAGCTCCTACAGCTGCAACATTCCTTCAACACTACCAGCCCAAAGGCATTTCGAGACATTACTCATGACCATTAACGAATAAATTCAACAAAACACTTGCTGATGGTAAAAATAATGCTAAAGCAAAAACAGCTGTCGCACTGTGCTTAAAGCCCAAAGAATTCGCACGAGATCAAATGCCCTCGATTATGGTTCTTCATTTTATCTGAAATTTCAACCCTTTGTGAAACAAGAACTACTTCAGAAATGAGATATGGACACCAAGAAAGAAACCACTAGTCACCACTGTAAAGCGATTAGTTTCGATTGCTTGATGACATCGCTTTTTATAACAAGATATGGTAAGTACGCCCAGCAATGCCAATAATCTGCTCTAAGACAGTGGCTTCGAGACCCCCCATTCCAACTTCAGGTGCTACTTGTGACTAGATCGACATCGACTGGTTTGGGTCGGTGTTCATCCTGAGATCGAGGCTCTAAGTTCTCCATAAATATGTGCAGGTAGGAAGAAACTGCAAGCGTAAATCATTCCTCCATCGCAATATGGAACCTTGGGACATGAAGCATTAGTACGCGGAAGTATGATCGTGAACTAAATAATCGCCACAATCTAACAAATCAATCAGGTGTCGTTCCTAAAAATGAACTAAAGTATGAAGTGGTTCAGGGATAGAATTCGTTAAGTGCATTCAGCAATGCCCAAAACTAAAGGACCGGACTCTTTCGTTTTTAATCGGAACAATGGAATAAAAGCCAGACGCCATTTGATTGGTGAACAAACACAGGGCACGATACCAATCCAGCAGTTTCAATATGCCTAAACTAGCATTTTCGCTCTGCAATCTCTGTCTGCTTGCTTTGTTTTAATTCACCTTACCATAAAACCAGAACTTTGATTATTTCCATGTCTAGGACCAAAAAATGTATAAAGTAGTCCCAACAAACCAGTCTTGTGGCAAAGCTACATAAGTCTACAAGAAAGCCTACGCGAATCATGTAATAAGGCCTCCACATCTGCAGAGGTCACGATGATAGGAAGCAAAGTCTTACGATGAAGGGAACAAAGGGAAGAGCCACTGAAGGAATGCGAAGAATGCCATTGCCTTTGATCAGACCACTACTTGTGCCCTTACTAGGCACATACGCACACCTCTACTAGGTCCAGACATCACCGGTTCCGATTAGTACTGCTGAAGTGCTGTTCATTTGCCTGCGAGTTTGATGCCCACCCACCCAAAGAACTAACAGTTTTCGACTGTCAATATTGAATGGGATTTGAAAGAGCAAAGAAGTGAACTCTAAAAGATATCGAAAATACAGGTTCTTAGTCAAGAATAAATCAAACTCAACTTAACCCATCAAAAGAGTTGTGGTTTCTAAAGGAAACCTCTTTCTATCCGCCAATTTACTTACCCATCCATCGACTTTTTAGTCAATGAAAAAATAATATCCGACCAAAGTGGGGTATTTAGGAGCAAAAGCGGCAAATATTAAACCAGTTCCAGAGTTTGAACGTCAAAATGCTTTAGTAAGGTCCATATGTGGGTGTGATAGCAAGAATAGAAGGAGAACTCTTAGGCATTCCTTCAAAGTCGATCTCGACTGGTGAGAAATGGGCGATTTTGATCTTTAAATCTCTCTACGAAAAATCCTAAGTTCACCCGTTGATGTCGCATTCGAATTTCATTGATATGAGCAAACGTTAACAGAAAATCTAATAATGTCCTCCACAGAGCTATTTTTGAGGGGAGTGTCGAGAGTCGCATTACTAGGCACGCATGATAAATCCGTCAAAAACTCTCGACAAAAATAAATACTCCCAATAAATTCGAAAGTGTCAATTAATGTCTTTTCCTTTTTTGAAATACTGATCGAGCAATCTACATGGTAGACACCATTCAGCAATAACAGGTCAATCGAGTCTGGTCTCGAAAGCTTGTAAAGACAGAATTCAAATAATGACATCATAAATATCAGTAAACAATTTCATGACCATCTTTAGGTAACTTGGTAAAAATGGACACCACCGATCAACCCTCACGCGAGTGTTGTTAAATACCTACAAGCAACGAACAGCCCCCACATAGAGCACTGAATAGCTAACTAAATTTAACCCTAGTACAAGCAGGTAATCCGAAATAGCTACAAGATGCAAAACTTCAAGCCAAAAAACTTATCTGAAATAGGGAGTTTGTGCACACTAACGACCAGCCAATCCCACTCAAGCCCGCATACCTCTTCCACAACTTACAGTTGAGGTCAAAAAAGAGGACCCAAATGGACTATATTTTTAATAGTAACTGGTGTGTGGGGTTAATGGTCAGGGTGACCTAGGCCACATGGCACCCGGAAAGTGAAGTGGACAGCCCAACTCGCGTAAACACCTCCACCACCATCATCGCCGTTCTTAAAATGGCCTTATTTACACAGGATCGCAGCTACAAAAAACAGAGGCAGGAAAAGTGCACGATAGTTTGTCCCTAAATTTCGAGGGAAACCCAGGAGCCACTGTGATCAAAAAGTAATGTGAACAAACTAATCGGAGAAAGAAAGGAAGGTAACCAAGTGGGATGAAAGTGAATATGTGCCCGATTCATGACAAAAGAGATAAGCCGAAAACCCGGTGAATCCCCTTATCTGCAAAAAGAAATCATCCATACGGTACTAGCTATCTACCACAAACCAAATCGTTCAGAATTTTCATGCACCGTTGGATTGAATTGTGCCTGAAGTAATTTCCCCTAATTTCAAGTACAAAATGAATGAAATTTCAAATGTTTTTCAAACTACCTAATCGTTCCGCGATTCCGACCGTAGGAAGCTTAAATGGGTGAAAAGCAACGAAAAATTCCATGTAGAAAGGAAAATGCTGCATCTACCAGCCTAAATTTAGGGGTTCAACGCTTGATAGTGAAGACTAATTTAATTACTGAAACGATACAGCCACTTCAACTCGTTGTGAATCACCGGCGCTATCTAATGTTATTTTAACCTTTCCAGGAGTCTTACTTCGGTAATGCTACGACTTGTTGATTCGATCTATTCAAACTGCTTTCAAATTTGAAAAAAATGGCATTCTTCTGTAACTTTCACTCCTGCCCATCCTGTCCACCGTTTGTCACAAACGAAAGGTGAGAAAGTAAATTAACAAGCAATAAGGCAGAGATAATTTGTACAAAAGAATAGAGGGTCCTCAAGAAGAAGCAAATGATGGCTTTTGCCCTTTCAATTTTATGTCCTGCACTTATATCCAAATGCAATCCACACACTGAAGCAATATTTCAGTGTTTAAATGATATGTTTCCAAACAGTCAGTGTTATCATTTCTTCAACGGGAAGATGCTTGGACAAGTTCTCTAGAGATGTCATTTCCATGCGTAACAGTCATAATGAGGCCTTAACCCCGTGAGCTTTCATGGCCATTGGCACCAAGGAAAAGATTTTCAAAACTCTAATCTTCAGCCTTGAATTAACAATGGAGAAATTTACAAACCTCCACCTACGCCCACTTAATTACACTTCCCGTACACCCCAAAGTGAAGAAAAATTTCATGGGCGCACATAAGAGAAAGGTGCTGTGGACTAGGTGGCTGGCGTTTCTGTGGTGCGTTGTAAAGTTTGCCTTTGCGTTGCTTTGCTTGTGCGGGATGATCTTATCCACATTCCCACTCGAGTGTTGATGATAGCAGTAGCAAAACCTAACCCTAAGGCTAGCTAGAACGTGGGCCAGGCGCTTAAGCCACCATCGCCCCTCGTAGGCATGCAGGTAGGCAAATAAACCAGCTATCTATCTAACCAACAGACCAGCCAGATAGGTGGGTTGTATGATATTCACCTTCCCCTCATAGAAATGACAACCAATCAAAAGCTGGAAAGGTAATGGCACAATCTGACGAAGTGCTTGCCTGAACAAAACAGGGCAATGAAAATACGCTCGGTGAAGAAATGGTCTTAAAAAACTCACAGCGAGACAGATAGATGGACCTTTGGATCTTGGAATGACTTCTTCCTTTGGAGGCTATGAAACTGTAATTTACCATTTTAAGACTATTTTTTACCTGTGTTTCGGTCAGTGGGTCCCTTTTCTCCGGGTAGAAGGCCAGTGGGCTGTGCACTAGGCATAACTACATATTGGCTGAAAATAAAACACTGATTTTGTACCAAGTGTTCGATAAACTCAAAGGAGTCCCGCCAATTCAAAAGTAAACTTATTAAGTAGGGTTTTTGGTAGTCGACCAAATGGGAGCTCAACCACTGCACTTCACTGGAATAAATAATCTCTGGACTATGCCAGTTGGACCTTCGCCCAACCCTTCAATACATTTACACATTTCTTGTCTTTTTCGTCCCAGCGACACTCGCGGTTATAACCGGCAAAAGTCTCAATCTAGAAATTAACTTTAAAGAAACCGATTAAAACAACAAAGGAAGCGATATAAGAGTAAAGAGATCAGAGCTTAATAACTGATAGATATTCGCCCTCTGAGCGTAGCTACGGCAACAAATAACATAAATGCGCCGAAATGTTTCGAAGACGTCAGCTTTGTAGTTTTTGTTGCTTAAGTAAAATTCTAGACTCAAAGTCTGGCTGAATTTTTGCTAAAAAATAGTTTTAACTACAACTCCACCGAATAAATAAGAAATGGATCCGTTCCTAAGCAACTGACTTAAAGAAGCAAAATAGATCAAGAAAAGCGTAAATGTTCTGTGCATTTTCTCCATTCTATCCTGTGACTAAAAGCTAGAACGATTCACAGACCATATAATGAAGGACTAAATGTCTGAAACTATGCACACCTACTAACTCAATTTGAGGAAATGTTTTTCCGTGAAAAATAGAATCGAAGTAAACAAAGGAAAGCTAAATTTTTGCCCAAATGTGATGAATAGGAAAGAAGGGGAGAAAAGAATATGATAACGAGCGCATTCATCCCGTCCAAGGATAGCGAATTAATAGAGTAACACAGCTTGGTAATTTGAACAGGAATAAAGCACTAGCTTGGCTTTCTAGCAACCTTGCCTTGCATCAAGTTGCTTAAAAAAAGACAAAGTGGCACCACAATCGTGAGATGACTCCTTTAAAACACGAGTGAAGGGAGGAACGGTTCCCTCAGCTAAGCTGACTACAAAGGTGAGCACAGAAAAGAGGCAGCAAGAAATTAAATAAATGGTAGATACTCACTTGATCCCCTCCTGCCACACGGTCGCAGGGCAAGACATGGGAATTACCTCAAATTAAAAACAGTTTTGCATTGCTGAAATAGGACTGAGGAAAGAAAGGAAAGGAGATGAAAATAAGACAGTTTGCACGGATCACCCACCTAATAGAAAAGGCAGCAACTGTTTTTGCTGTTGCTGTTTCTGCTACCACTTCGTAGCATTAAAGACAAAACACATGTAGGGAGGGAATGAACGCCAAAACAAATAGCAGACATTCGCATGGGCAAAAACAGTGACAGAGAGGGAGAAAGAAAACGTAGCCGCTAATCGTGAAAGCGGAATCGACACCATTCAACATCCACGACGAATCAGCGAACAATCGAGTCAGAAGCTTGGTAGTGAGCTTGATCGGTGAACTCTGGGGTCCTCCATCTTCGTTAAATGCAATCCATGTAAATACCGCCACAAGGAAAACGATTTTGATTGGTGTAGTTGACGAGTGGAAATAAGTTGTGTTACCAAGATGAAGCAGACAAATACGATGAGACGTTCACGAAGATCCTACACTAACCCAATTCTGAGTAGATACAATCTATTGCAGCGATAAGTTGCGTTTTCAAGCCACCTAATATTCCGTGCTTACTTCTTTAATTGATTCAAACTTCAAAACCCCTCAACTTTGTGAGCTCATCAAAAGCGAGTAATAAAGATGGCAGATTCATTTAGTTCTACCACTAAAAGTCAAGCGAAATTGGGCAAAAGAATGGGGCAAACGAAGAAGAGAAATACTAATGTTCTGGTTAAAAGTGTGAAGCATATGAAGGTGCATAAACGTCTTTTAGAGAAGCAAAGCAGAATGATGATTGTACAAAAGGGGCAATTGAACGCACATGTCTGTCATTGATACTCAATAAAATGTGTTTTAAGCCGTTTCAATGGTGTGATTCCATGGAGTGTGATAAGTTCTTTAGATAAAAGAAAAAGAAATGAAGATAAACCTGATTAGATCAGTAAATGATTTGCGGAAACCGCAGACTGGAAAGTAAAGATTTTCATTTGATTATGGTTCACTAAAGGACTTCCAATCACCTTCAGAAGCAATGTAAGTTAGAAATGCTAGCAAGAAAAGTATCAGTTATCAGCTCCACTCCCGGTCCGCCGTAGATTAGCCACGATGCACTGCACTTCGGTGATTCAAGGGATATTGATAGCAAGACTCATTCAACCTGTTCAGTGCTTGAAATGCGGGAAAAGGGACAAACCAACAGCAAGGAGGAAATTGGACTACAGGAGTGTTGAAACAGAATTCAACCGAAAAAATACCCCAGGTGCAAGAAGGTAGAAGAGTTAAATCCAGCGCAGGATTCAGCTTCGTTCCCTTATGTAAAACCTCTTGCGGCTCAAAGCGGGATTATGAAAGAAAGTTGACATCTAATTAAAAGTCGCACTCTTTTATAAGCCTGTTTTGAAATTTAGAATAAAGTGGAATTCAGCAAGGGGACCACGAAAAGGAGATTTATGTCGATAAGACGAAAAAGCCGTTCGTATCGCAGCACAGCAATTGGAATGTGGGAGCATTTTTTAAAATTCAAATCAAAATCATCAAGTAGGAGTGGCATTCCTTTTGTTTACGTTAGCAGAAATGCCTTTGCATCGGGCGAAAATATTGGTCTAAATTAAATGGGTAAATAGTTGTCCGATTGCAGTAGGACGGCAGAAGATGTGTAGAGCTGGTCAAGGTCAAAGTGAATGAAGAGAAGGGGAAATTCTCTTGGAGGAAGTGGAGAAAAGGTAAAATAGAGAATCAGATTAATATAGGGCCAAAATGAATTGCAGTATATCTAAAAATACCACTGACTGGATATAAATCTCATCACTTCTAGGGATTATTTTCAGTTAAGATACAAGAAACAGCCCGAATAAACCTCAATTTCCGCCAACTCGTTTGATCAATGCCAGTTTTTAAGATTCAATGCATTTGAATTGCACAACAGCACCCAATGCCAGAGAAAGGAAATGAAAAGGAAACTGATTACCTCTTGAAACCCGTCAAAATAGACCAGTTTCCGACCTTTGAAATAGCAGACCTCATTCCACTTAATCGAAAAGACAACAGTTGGAACAAGACAAGCACCATAAAAAGAGCGCTATCTCAGAAGAAAAGGAAAGTTACATCACTCGTCGCATTTTATTGCTCCGCAATAGATCAGTTAGTCATCTATGAAAAGAGAGAGCGAAGACAAAATGGATAAAGAAGACACTGAGATGTGAATGGTGCTTAAAGCTCAGTGATTTGTGGCTTGACCAGTCCACATCGAATTGAGATGAGGGTAAAGAACAAAATAGGAGGCAAAACGAACATCAAAGATTCACCCTATCTGTGCTACCACTAGCCTAGCCCGCCTCCTTTCTTCTTCATTTGAACTTTGCGAAGCCCTTAAATGTCCAAACAGTCCATAAAACGATGACCCCTGAAAAGGGCAGCACACAACCAAGTCCCCAAGTTTGCATGCAGAATCTTGGGAGAAAGTGGAGTACATAAGTGGATACGCACACTCACCTTGGATGTAAGGTGTCAACTTGAGCCGGTAGCCAAAAAAGGATCTAATGTTCTTTAAGTTCATTTGGAAATGGAGAAAACTTTTATAATGAAATTCCTTTAATATTTTGTAGCCACTTCTGCCAAAATACACGTTTCAACCAAGAGTCATGGAGTAAAGCTCCCCTTGAAGATGCCGGGACACAAAAGAGCCAAGGATGTAACACCGCTACTTTGAGGATTGAACAGTGAAGAACAGGAATGAAGTCTTCAATAAAAAAGCAAGATATCTAGTAACAGAAACGATAGTTCTAGCTTAAGCCAACGGTGCAAAGCGGCAGCACAACTCGAGCACGAACGCCTTGAGATTGGCGAAAATATCGGATGAGAAGGAATGGGCAGGATGGGAATTGAGTATAGATACTTTGATAGTGCCCAATAAAGCTTCCAACATTACATCACTTCTAAAGATGGAAGCTGGTTTCAACTTTTCACTCGATGCAACTACCGAGCTAAGCATAGTTAATAAGCAAAAATAACAAGGATGCATTAAAGAAACTAAATTAGAGTTTCATTTGCTAGGCCACAATCAATTTATCAAAATTTAAAACTCGACATTTTCACGCCAAAAAAGAGCCACATGGGGTGCTTGAATATTCAAAAAAAGTCTGGAAGATGTGGTGCAATCACGCGCCCGTGAGCATGTGTGGAACAAAACACCCCTCTCATCGCATATACGTTCAATGGTCGCACGAGCTGGCGCAAACAAGGGAAGGGGAGGAAAAGGGGGAGGAGTAAAAAAACCCGGTCCCCGTTAACTCCTCCTCTGATTGGCTGAACCGGCAAAGCCCTTTACTACACAATGCAAAACACGGCGCTCCCGCCTGCCCACTTTCTTGCTCCTCCATTTGCCTTGTTGCCTGCCTCACTGGCACTGCATCAATACCGACAGGCTTTGGACTAATTAATCCATTCAAGTGGTCGGAAAAAAGGCGTTAATTAAGTGACTATGTTAATCCCGAGTTGATGAGGCAATACGGTACTATAAGTAGTGAGATTCTTTAACGGAGAGCGATGGATTTATCCCTATTGGTCTATAGCCTGTTCGTTCCAGCAAAATTGCTTAAAATGCAGACTATCAAATGTGCCACCTATGAGCAGCTCTGTTAACAAACCAATTGAGATGTTCATAAAGACCTAACTTTTCAAATGACAACCTCATCGTACCCCTATGTTTCATTACAATGCTCAAGAAAGTAATGAAAGTGACGTGCCCCATTCTCTTTCGCCACCAGCAAATCGTGTGGGATCCTCCAAGGCCATGAGGAGTTGTTGTTGCATGCGCTGGATGTCGCGCAGATGCACCACCCAGGCAGAGCGCGTGGCGACAGTCTGAGGATCGATGATATAGATAACATCGCGACCTGGTGTCTGATCCCACAGAGCAAAACGCAGATCGTCTGAAGCCGCAAATTCAAGAGCAGCACGTACCGACGGCCAATCGGTACCGGCGCACTGTTCATTCCCTGGTACTGCTGCTCCAGCTGTTCCTGATGGAGTTGCATCCGCAACTCCTGCTCCTGCAGACCCGGCCGTCACTGGTTCGCTTGTGAAGGTACACATGAACCAGTGCGGCTGCAAGAGACAAGAAGAGACTGGGAAAAAGTAGTCCCAATCTATCCACCTTCCAAGAAGGTCGAAAAAAACTGTTGACTGGGTTCCTGAGTGTTCAAAAAGCAAGTACTCAATCAACCTGAGTATGGTAATTCCGATGTTCTTTGTCGGAATTACTCATATCGTTTTTGAGGGGTGTGACAACTTTAATAATGCTGTTGAGTAACAAAAATGTGGTAGTTTTGCTGGCATGGGAGACGCTCAAATTAAAGCAGAACCTTTGACTTTGCACACACAGATTGGATGCCACTGAGGTCAAGTCACATCCTGTTAGCCATGACGGCAGTCAATGGTACCAATGAACCTGTCACCGAAGATGGAATGCGTGAGTACTCGATAAAACAGTCAGATTGTGGATAGCACTACGGCATATACCGGTTCCATATATGGCGGTCATGGTACATTCGCCTTTCCACTCTTCAACACCTAGATGACTAGCAACCCATCGTGGGGTTCCAAGAAGGTTGACTCAATTCGTGGGAATGATGGGCGAGCTCTTCACAATTATCTGCAATATTTTTAAAGAAATAGCAGATCCTGGACACCAAGAAAGCTGTGCATTGCAGTGGATGTTAATGTCTCTTCTCAACATCCCAGAACTCGCCTCTAGTGGAAACTATCTGTCTTAATCCCTAAAGGAGCGCTTTAGAGATTACGTTTTGACTATCATAAAATTTTCGATGCCTAGGCTATGTGGACGTTATTTTAACATTGGGATGAATTCACGGATCCAATGGGGAATCGTGTAAAAGCCATCATAGACGACGTTCCTTAAAATTTACTTCATTTTCCTGACCTTTAACACGCTAATTAGGCCTAAATAGCTTTCATGGGAACGAAGGGGGCGATTTCAACAATAACTTTTGAAGATACTCCCGTCTTTATTCAATAACTTATTGATCATGAAAGCAATTGTTGGAGTTCTGTACGACTTACAAAATAGAGATGATGTCATCGCTGCCTAATAAACTATACTTCGCTTCTGATTTGAATAAACACTAACACAAGCACATGCACACAAATATTGGCGTGATGCATCTACACAGTGGAGTTCTACGTGCCACAAAAGGCATTTTCTGCAGACTACTGTCACCTGAGCAGGTTCTACACCTTTTCAAGTGTGTTTCCCAATCTGATCAGACCAACCCAAAGAGCTTGAACTACATATTTGGTGATGACGGCAGGGTATCACTCGTAAAGAGATAACATTAGTATGAAAAGCTAGATGTGTCATGAACGCGAACCATACTTCGCCTTGATAGGTGCTATACTCAGAGATTAGATTGTTTTTTCCGTAGGTAACAGATGACTTGGGATTCAAAAGATGTGTTTCAGTAACCAATAGGGAAGAGTTGTTACAAATCTGACATATCTATAGTAAAATCCGAAAGATAAATCAGTAATGGTGGCAAAATTCGGTCCAAAATCGTTTCTAGCCGTACGGAAGGGTGAGAAAGTCACAACCGACAGTTTTATGGAATTAAAATTACGAAATAATGTTCTGAGTTACTCAGAAATCGCCCAAATTTGACGGGCAATGCAAGCCCTCGATACCACCACAATAGAACTACTCATTTTAATGTTACATTTAACTATACAAGCTTTCCATGTCCATGGCCGCATTCTTCTTCCGTGCCATAAAATAATTACGAAGAGGAAACCAAAAGTCCAAATTCTTAGAGTAAAAATAGGCACACCGTGTAAGGTGTTGTGAGCAACTCCTGAGCACGAAATGCTGCGCCGCTATTCACTAACCAATGACAATAATCCTTGCTAAATGAGTTCCAGAAAAGAGATAAAACACGGCTACTAAGCGCTTATAAACAAAACGTAGAACGCTACCAGGGATGGTGATGACGAAATTTTCACACCGAAATCATCGTCCGCTGCATAAAACCAAGATCTGACAATTAGTCTCGACTCTCATCAAGTATTTCATTTTGCTAGCAAAAAAAGTAGCAAGCCTTCGTTCCCCCGTTTTTAATACAAAATCGCTTGTGCGCGACGCACAAATGGATGGTAAACAGAGTCCAAGCAACGTGTAAAGCGGATAGGAAATGAAGAAACCGAAGGTCAACTAGTAACGCCTGGACATAGGTTAGCTGAATCCAATTAGCTGGACCTATGCTACTTGGGTTGACTTCGACGACTGTCAGTGTATTTTTGAAAGCAGCTAGATGTCTAGCTATTGGCGCAGAAGCCCTCTGAGGCAACACAAATCGGCAATGCTGACGATGAATGAGAAAATCGCACCAAGACAGTGAACCACGCTTACACACCCACACAGC